AAAAAAGTGAAATCCGATGTACCGTCTGTCAGACTCATGGAGGGGAATGTTGTAGAATCTGGATGTGAGGTCCATGGTGCTGAAGAAAGCATTCCCACCAAGGGCAGCAAGGCAGTCAGCCTGATGGGGCAGTGGGTGAGCATCCTTAACGGTTTTGGCATTGAGCCAGTGGAAGTCAGTGCATATCTTCAAGTCACCTGACTTCTTCCAAACAATTACCAGTGGCGAGGCGTATTCGCTGGTGGACTTACTGATGATGCCTTTCATCTCCATGTCTGACAGCACCTCTCGCAACTTATGATAGTGAGCCGGGGGTACTCTGCGATAGGGAAGCCTGAAAGGGCGGTCGTCAGTGAGGTGGATACGATGGACAAAGTCTTTCACCTCACCACAGTCCAGTTTGTCTCTAGAGAACACATCTTGGTAAGTCAACACAAGCTCCACCAATTTCCTCTTCCACCCATCTGACACTTCACAGCCCTCAATATCAATGTCAGCCAACCCGGCATCTTTGAGTAGCTGTGCAGAGTCAGGCACAGAATCTGATGAGGGGGGAAAACTGGTATGCTGGTCGGTCAGAGTCTCGCAGAGACCTTGAGTGATGGGCAGGTCCTCCACAGCAATACAAGGAAAGACATCCGCAATCTTAGCATTGTCACAGGGCTCTCTGTTGGGTTAAGGACTTTCATAGGGACCCAACGATCTCCCCACATGGGTGTTATAATGCGCCCCACCATTATGTTCTTTGGAGTGGAACGGGCTGACGTGGGTTCCACAACGACAGTACTTCCTGGAGACACAAGGGCAGAAGGTGGCAGCTTTCCCCAAACTACATATTCTTTTTGTGGCAGGAGAGTGACACTCTTCCGCAACCTGACTGTACCTACTTTATCTGGCAACACAGGAGCAGACCACCGTGAGATACAGCTCAGCAACTGCAGGAAGTCTTCACAATCAGTGCCAGTGTAATTGGAGTTAATAAGCTCCCAATACTTTGTATCAGCCTTCATCTTCTGAATGATGGGCCGGATCACATTGCTCCCCACGATGAGCTCATCTTTTTGCCCAGGAACCACAAACGTTGGTACAAGAAACCTAGTCCCATATACTTCAATGTCCAAATCATAGACGCATTTCGGTTGTGTGAGAAGGCCACCGCAACCAACCAGCACCACATTTTCAGGGGCATGCTGCGGAATCAGAGCAACACCAGCGGCTCTTAGCTTGCTATCAGCCTCTTCACTTAGTGTGCATGACATACTTCCTGAATCAAGCATGCCTGTCAGGGAACACCGGCCACTGACCGACACTGGAGTGTAAAACAACTCACTAGCCCTGCCAACTCTTTGTGAACCCATAATAACAGTCTTCTCATCAGAGAGGCTACTACAGCAGTTAACATATATGGCTTCTGGGTCTGTTACATTTGTGAGGGTTTCATCAACACTGCCCATGCTACTCCTCTCGTTACATGGGCTGGCTAGTTTACAGCAGCATTGGTGGGAGGAGGGACTGAAATGCTTGGTTTCTGGTGCAACTGTGGGCATTCACGCTGTTGAGTTTGTAATCAGGCAGCGGAGGCGACGTCTGGGTTCAACACTTTATTTCAGGCTTTACAGCGGAGCTCCATCTTGCTCTCTCTCTCTACTTTCTTCTTCTCTCCTCTCTCTTACCCAGCCTCATTAGCGGCACCCCTGGTCTGACAGGGTAACAGCATGTACTAATTTGCTTCCCTTATTATAGAACCTTGTAAACACAACATCTCCCCCTTTTCTCAAATAATACTCTCTCCCTTGTAGCACAACATGAAACATTCGACAGCCTTTTACTTTTGAGGCAATTAGTAACTTCAGAACAGTATTATATATATATCCTGATAAAAGAACTGTAATGGCAAAGTAAACGTGCCCCGGATCAACCCTGAATCAAAAGGAACAACCATGTGCCCTCTTCTCAGCTTATCAGAAGTCACAGCTGGAATTAAAGATAACTAATGAAACTCAAATGCACTTTCCCTTCACAGTCATTTCTCACATCTGCATATTTCTCCTTTCTTTTTACCTCTGAACTATTTCATAACAAAGTCTTTTGTCCATCTTGGTGGTTGTCTGTCCCTCTGCAGTGTGGGACGTGTAGCAGTCTGTGCTGAGCTGATGTTTTCTGTCTCTGTATCAGCTCTTTGTGTGTGTTTTGAGTTCTCTGGGACAAGTGAGAGACGTGCTGCATTCCATCTTCTCCCATCGCTGAGGATGAAAGAACTCTCACCCGTCTGCTGCTGTACCTCCCGCGGCTTGGTGTATTGTGGCTCTCCTTTTCCCACATGGAATGGCTTTCGTACTCTCACTGAAGCACCCACAGTCACTTTAGTAGGTTTAGCACCTCTCTTTCTGTCTGTATAAAGTGCACTTCTTTTCTGTGTCAATGTCACTTTGGATCTGATGTGGTCATATTGTCCAGCATCCTTTGGTGGTGGCAGAATGTTGAGTTTAGTCCGCATGGCTCTTCCTCTGAGGAGCTGGAAAGGGGACTCACCGGTTGTAGCGTGGGGAGTCGCTCGATAATTTTGAAGCAGTTCTGTAACCACAGTTTTCCATGGTCGCTGAGTAGCTTGTGCTGTCTGTATGGAGTCCTTCAGTACTCTATTAAAGCGCTCCACACATCCATTTGCTTGAGGATGATAGACGCTTGTCCTGATGTGTTTTATGCCCCTTTCAGCGAGAAACTCAGCAAAGGCAGCTGAGGTGAACTGCGGACCATTATCAGTTGTAATTTCATAAGGGTTTCCTTCACGGGCGAAAATGGAAGTCAGGAATGCAATCACTGTCGCAGTTGAGGCGTTTGGTGTGAATGCGACTTCAGGCCACTTACTGAAATAGTCAACTAGTGTGATGGCAAACCTGCAGTCATAGGTTCCTTGTTCAAACGGACCAACAATGTCGACAGCAACATGTTGAAACGGACCCTCTGGGAATTTGATGGGTTGTAACGGTGCAGGTGAAACAGCTGCAGTCTTGTCACATGATTGGCAGGTTGTGCATGTGGACAATATTTCGTGGACCAGTTCATCCATGTTTGGCCACCAATATAGATCTCTCAGGCGTTGTTTGGTTCGGACCATGCCTTGATGTCCTTCATGGGCCAGGTGCACTACCTTTCCTCGCAGAGATTTGGGAACAATCAGCCGTGTTCCTCTAAATATCAGCGGTGACTCTGCTGCCAGTTCATGTCGGACCAGGAAGTAGGGTTTGACATCATCTGGTAAGGATTTTCGTACTTTCGGCCAGCCCGAAAGAACGATCTGTCTTAGTTTTGTTAATTCAGGACAGTCTTCACATTCTGCTCTGAAGTCAGCCAGTGGAAGCGCTGTTAGCTGAGGAGAAATTTCAGCAATCTCTGTGATTAAGTCCTGTTCAGAGTCTTCACTTGTGTTTGTGGTATGCAGGGGAACACGGGACATACAGTCAGCTATAACATTTTGGCTTCCTGGACGGTACTCTAAGTCATACTGGAAACACATCAGTCTGGCTGACCAACGTGCTATCCTCATGCCAGCTCTGTTCATCCCCTTAGTACTTAACAGGGTGGTGAGGGCCTGGTGATCAGTTCTCAGAGTAAATCTGCGTCCCCATATGTACGTCCTCCATCTTTCAACGGCCCATACGCAGGCGAGGGCTTCTTTTTCAATTGTTGAATATTTCCTCTCGGCTGGGGACAGGGTGCGGGAACCAAAAGCAACAGCACGTTCCTCATTGTTTGAGTTGATCTGGGTCAGAACAGCTCCAAGACCATAATCTGACGCATCAGTGGTGATGAACGTTGGCAGATTTGGGTTGAAGATTGCCAGTGCTGGGCTTTTTAGTAGCATTTCCTTCAGTTTGTTGAAGCTTTCATTTGCTGTATCAGTCCATTGAAGTTCAGCCGTCTGACTTGTCCGAAGTAACTCACGGAGTGGTTCAACCACAGTTGCATAGTTTGCTAGGAATTTGCTGAACCACGAAGTCAAGCCTAAGAAGGAACGAAGAGCAGCCATGTCCTTTGGTGCAGGGGCTTTGGCAATGGCAGTCAGGTGGTCTGGGCTGGGACTCAGGCCATCCTTGGAAATGACATGTCCCAAGAACGGAATAGATGTCTGTCCAAATGAACTTTTGTTGAAGTTGATCTGCAGACCGACATCCTTCAGGCGTTGGAGGACAGCCTGTAACCGTTCATCATGCTCTTCTCTGGAATGTCCATACACTATTATGTCATCCAAGTAGTTCTGTACTCCTGTCTGGTCTTTTAGGACTGTTTGCATCATCTTTTGGAAGGCAGAAGGGGCTGAAGCAAGTCCAAATGGAACTCGGGTAAACCGGAAGAGTCCCTCATGGGTTATGAATGCTGTGAGGCTTCGGCTATCAGGGTGAAGAGGCAGTTGGTGATAAGCTGAACTTAAATCAATCTGGCTAAAATGTGTAGCCCCAGCCAGCTGTGCGAACAAATCCTCCATGTGAGGAAGAGGGTAACAGTCCATGATCACACTCTTGTTAGGTTCACGCAGATCCACACAAAGTCTTAAGTCTCCCTTACTTTTTCTTCCAACCACCAGAGGACTCACCCATTCAGCTGCATCCACTGGTTCGATGATGCCTGCTTGGAGTAGACGTTTCAATTCAGCTGACACCTCCTCACGTATGCTGAGTGGTAGACGCCGCAGTTTTTGACGAACCGGCTGTACTGTCTTGTTCACTTGAACTTTGTGGATAAACCCTTTAACAGCTCCGAGATGATGGGAAGAAGAGGAATCAATGTTATTCACCATGCATGTTTGTTTACTGGCTGGTTCTCCTCTTGCAGGATCCTCTCCTTTGTTGATGACTTTTCCAGCAATGATATCAATGTTAAGTGCTTTAATTAAGTCCAACCCCAGCAACGGTGATCCATCTTTAACTATGAAGAATGATCCTGGCACTTTTCTGTCATTGTTTGCAACCCTCACTGAAGCCTGTAGGCAGCCAATGACAGGCAAGTCACCTTTTGCATAAGTGACAAGCTTAACTTTCGGTTCAGTCAATGCACAGCCAATGACAGGCAAGTCACCTTTTGCATAAGTGACAAGCTTAACTTTCGGTTCAGTCAATGCACAGGGTGCAAAATGTTCTTTGTAGATGGCTTCTGGGAGGATAGATACTGAAGCTCCTGTATCCACAATTAACTCCAGAACCTGAGAGTTTCCCTGTGGTGTTTCAATGTTCATTTTGCATGTAATCTTATCACATGCTGCAGTCATCAGTTTGTGATCATCAACACATAAAACTGTAAACTCAGGAACAACTACTTCCCTGACCACTGCTACAGCTGATTTACGAACTCTGGCAAAGTGCCCTTTTTTGCTCTTTATCACTTGCCTTTTTGTGCCCTTCTTTAGATGTAGGTCCCCGAGCTTGAGCTGGTCGCGCTCGTCTTTTTCCCTGAAGACGTGCGTCCTTCACCCCCACAGCTTGTACTGCAGCAGTCTGGGCCGTGGGCGCAGCAGAGAGGAGTGTAGCATTCTTGACTGCAGCCTCCACCTGACACGCAATAGTAACTGCCTTGTCCAATGTAAGGTCCTCCTCCAGCAGCAATTTTTCTTTAACAACACTGAGAGTAGCATTAGCAACAAGTTGATCCCGAATCATTTCACCCTCCATTATTCCAAAACCACATGGCACAGCTAACGCTCTGAGGGCGGCAACATACTGGGTCACAGTTTCATCAGCCCACTAAACTCGCTGTCTGAATGTGTGCCGGCATGCCACTACATTCACTTTAGGGACAAAGTGGTTTTCAAGCGCAGTCATGGCTTCAGCAAATGTTGTACCTTGATTTGGCAGTGTGTCCCAAGCAATGTAATAAGACGCCTCGTTGTCTCGCCTCCAGCCATGCATCTCCCGTAGCATTTATCACTAGCATGTAGTTCTCAAAGAATTTGCCCACGTCATAAACGGTATTGGCAGCTCACCCGCATGTTGCAAAAAGGGAGGTGGGCTTGGCACTGAAGCGCTCATCCTCATCGCCAATTTGTTGAGTTTGTAATCAGGCAGCGGAGGCGACGTCTGGGTTCAACACTTTATTTCAGGCTGTACAGCGTAGCTCCATCTTGTTACCTCTCTCTACTTTCTTCTTCTCTCCTCTCTCTTACCCAGCCTCATTAGCGGCACTCCTGGTCTGACAGGGTCACAGCACGTACTAATTTGCTTCCTTTATTATAGAACCTTGTAAACACAACACACGCCTCATGTGTCCAGGGTCAAAGCAGCTGTGGCATAGCTTGTACAGCCTACAATGCACATGGGTTGTGTGTTCATGTGAGCCACACACTCTGCACGAAGCACGATGAGCACTGCGGTGCCCACGGGAATGACCTGTGGGTTGTGGGCACCTAGGACCAGTGGCTAGTGATGCAGTGTACATAGACAGAACCTTGTCAAACAGTGCTACCATCTGTTGAACACCTGGCTCAGCTGGAGGAGGGCCGGAAACAGGCAAAGATGGGTGCATGACATGTAGAGTCAAAGGAGGAAAAGCAGAGGGCTGCTGCACACTTACCATGCCATCAGAAGAGAGAGGCTGACATGTGGCTGCAGAGGGAACAGAGGACATAGGATACGAGGCTGGCTCATGTGTTACTGGGACTGCTTGAGCACCGCTGGAGTGGGGCTGGCTGTTAACAGCAACAGGGCTCTGATGTGGGATGGACAGACTTGCTGTATTATGAGACAAAACACTAGACTGTCTCATTTTCCTCACATAGTTGTCCAGACGGCTCTGAACCTCAGCTGCAGTCCACTCCTCAGGAGCCTTCAGTTGAAAAGACAAGGCAAGACTGTGGTCAGGACAGTGATTAATGAACATCGAAACAACCTCACTACTGGGGTCCTCTACCAGCTTGCCGCGCCTGCAGAGACACTCATCAGCAGCGTCAATAGACTTGTTCAACCAGATCCAGTAATCCATGGCATTCTCACCTGGACGTGGCACAGTACTGTAGAAGTCTTTCATGGGCAGGCTGGAATATGTCAAGTCGCTGAAGTTAGACCTCAGTATGTCAAACACAGCAGTAATAGGATCATTCCGATTCAACTCAGGGCGGCAACGAAGTGACACCTTGACCACATCTCTGGCTTTGCCAGTCAGTCTAGACATTAATATGGCAAACATTTCTTCATCTGTGTCACAGCTGATTCTGTGCAGATAACATCTCATCATGTCCTCCCATTCACTGATGGGAAATAGATCTGTGCTGTCACCCTTGAAGTATGGTGGAGCTTTGGTGTCTGACTGAACAACAACCTTCAGCTGGGACTGGTCATTGCAGCTCGAGGACACATTCTGGGGAGACTGTGGCTGGGTGGGGGCTGGCTGGTGCATAGAGTTAAGAGAGGACGTGATATTTTCCCCAATTTGCTTTGCTAAGTCAGTAATCAAGCTGCTCAACATGTCACTAGTGACAGCCTGGGTGTGTGTTTGGCGTTCGCAAGCAGCTGGTGTGGAGCTAGCTGCTGGCATTAATGGTGAGTGCATCACTGACTGGTCTACAGTGTGGGCACCAATACCCGGGACTACTGGCCTACCCCTCCCAAAACACTTTGGAGCAATCTGATGACCCCTCCCCAAACCAAAGGTCATATTACTCCCCGCAGAGAACAGATCAGGCAAAGCGCCATCCGCAGTTTCCTCACCTAACATGTTGGCCCAAGTGAGATATCACTGTTCAACAGCAAGAAAAAAAAAAGAGCCTAACCCTCACACACAATTATGCAAAACTTCACAAAACAATGAAATGTGTGTGTGGGGGGGGGAAACGCCATCAAAGAATCAAAACACCATAGAAAAAAACAAAATCAATTAAAACAGGATGTAAAAGCCAATATCAAAAGAAAAAAAAAATTACAATCCGTGCCTGTATAATTTGAGGCAACAATATGAAACGGTGACAGAAGTCAAGTTGATGATGTTTAAGTCTAATCATATATTCTATAATGATAAATTGCTCTGTGAGGATGCCTTTTCTTCAGCTCTGTCTCCAAACACATGTAAAATGATAACATGTACATCACCTTGTTGTTTGTTGACTCCATTTCAGCATTCATATGATGACCCCAGGAAACAAACTTGGCACTCTTGTCTTCAGTGCCACACTCTGCAGTTGGATATTGGACTTCCACATAAACACAACGCAGACAGTTTGGATTGGCAATCACACCTCCTCCGCTCAACACCAAAGCCCCCCAGGGTTGTTTCCTTCGCTTACTCCTGTTGGAGATGCACACCGGTGACTGTATTCCCAAACATGGAGAAACTCTATTTTGAAGTTTGGAGACTGTTGATGGCTAGACAACATATCATGGTGAGAGTGCAGATTGGAAGGCAACTGACAGTTGTGAAAGTCCACAGAAAACACAGGAGACGAGGTCCATAGAAAACAACTCCTGCTCAACAAAACGAAGAAGCTAATTTTTGGATTTCTGGAAAGAGGCGCTGAGATGATGGTGGAGTAGGTGAACTGCTGCAGGTCCTTACTGTTAGCAGACGAGCACGGCCCAGGACAAGAAGGCTCAGCAGGAGGTGTTACAAACTGCCCAGGACATCAGGCCTTTATCACATCATAGATAATGGTGAGATGTCTATGCACTATTCTAAATGACAACACCCCAGGCATACCCCAGGCACTGCCCTCTGGCATCCATACAGAAGTATCTGATGCCACCCCACTAGACTTCAGGCTTCATTTTCTTTCCTCAGGCTGGAAATACTACTCTCCATGCTCTATTATGAACAATAGTTCCCCCCCGCCTTATTATTTATGCATACGTTGATCATTTTCGGAGACTTTTCATAGTTGCGAGACACTCTGTCTCTGCTTTGTCTTGATGCATGCTCAATCATCCAGGTAAGGACATCCAGAAAGGTTATGTACTCTTTACTTTGTAGGTACAAAACGTTCTCATAGCCATTGATCAATCATTCAGCTGAGTCTAAAGAAGTGACTTGGATGAAAACGCTGCGTCCAGATGAAGAGAATCCACTTTTTCTGTTTTGGTTTACAGCCATGTGTAATGGTTTCATGGTCACTCACATTCCCTTTCAGTGCGTGACTACTCCAGCATTGATTCAGCTCCACAATAATAGGAAGAGCAGACATGAAAGGGTAAAAACATGTGTGTGAATGCATGGCTGGCCTTTCTGTGTGGAGCTTGCATGTTCTCCCTGTGCCTGCACAGGTTTAATCCAGCTACGTAGGCTTCCTCACAGTCCAGAGACATGCATGTTAGCTCATTATGGTTCTAAATTGGTCACAGAGAAGGTGACCATGAGAGTTTGTTTCTATGTGTTGACCCTGTGACTGATCAGATGTCTGTCCATAGTGGACTTTGCCTCTTGCCCCATGTCAGCTCGGCCCCACAGCCCTGGATTCCTAAATGGAAAAGCATTTAACAAAATGAATGAATGGATCTTCCACATCGAGCGTTATCTTTGGAATTTGTATTTTTTAACTCCAGAATAAACTGGAAACCTATAACAAGCTATGTTGTTGCACTGACACAGGGCAGTATCTGGGAATGAGAACAGACTGTTACTGAGTACAGCGGTGGTGAAGCCAATAATTCCCATGATGCCATGGTGTTTCACATCATCAGACTCTGTCTTTGGTTGTTGATGTAAATGGAGCTGGAACTACATTCTGTGTTTAAATGAAAAAAGTGTTTCATTATGAGCTCTTTAGATGTGTTCACGTTTGAAGTCTGTGCCAGCTGAATTTCAGAGTGAACTAAAAGGAAGTGAGACGTTGCCAATTGGAGGAACACATTTAAAAATTACAGGTCCACATGGAAGATTTTTAGTTGGCAGCAATATTTTATCCACACAGGATTTACTCAGTAGATCTGCTCATTCTGCAAATCTAGTGGCGTGGTCCTTTAAGGATATACGCTTAGTATCTGGCTGATAAGTCATAAAACGATCACAGTCGCCACCGTTCCAGTTTTCTATTCAAGCTCCACATCTTTGAATGAGACTTTTTTCAGTGCCAAATTTATAGCTTTGCTTCATATACAGTAAGCAGAATAGCAGTTTTGCCTTTGAAGCCTGAGTGCAAATTGAGAGTCAGAAATAATCAAGGCTGTCTTGGCAGCTTCCTATAAGCCAGCCCTGCTCTCCTTTCCTCTCTCTCCCCCTCCTCTCACTGTTGGTCCCCATGTCTCGGGGACAGATGGTGAGTGTCAGCAGCATGCCAGTCCCCATATCTCACTATGGGGAAAGAGATGGTTTTGCACGATGACTGGGTGTGTCTTTTTAATCCAATGAAGCAAAGGAAGGGCGAAGAAGTGCAGAGAGAAATTGCATG